ACACTGAGCAGCAAAACAAAACACTGAGCAGCAACAATGCAACACAACACACTGAGCAGCAACAATGCAACACAACACACTGAGCGGCAATAGTGCATTGTATTGCTGCTCAGTCCGTTGTGTTGCTGCTCAGTGTGTTGTGTTGCTGTGTTGCTGCTCAGTCCGTTGTGTTGCTGCTCAGTGTGTTGTGTTGCTGCTCAATCCGTTGTGTTGCTGCTCAGTGTGTTGTGTTGCTGCTCAGTGCGTTGTGTTGCTGTGGCCCTGAGCAGCAACACACACTGTGTTTTAACTTTGTTTTGGTTGGAATCTAATTCCAATCAGAATAAGAAAATAATTCATATTTTGAATGAGAGTTAAATGAAAGCAGCAAATGAAATAAAACAATAAAGCCAACGTCATAAAAAGGAAAAGTTCCTCCTCAGACTTAATAACTTATCCCTCATTTCCACCGTCTCGGGTTAATGTTCACGCGGAGCTGCGTCTCTTTTCTCTGTTATTCGTTTCGCTTTGTGCAGATTAAAGATGCTCACGCGGAGAAAAACACGACCACCTTCTGCTCCCAGCTGAGAAAACACGGACCGGTGCGGAGTTCCTTTAGGGGGGGAGCACGGGAATAAAACGGGCTTTCACAATAAAACCAGCTGGGTAAAATTGCGCTTTAAAAGTGACTTCAAAGCTTCATCTGCGCAGCTGAACTCTCTCATGTTTGATTAAAGGTCCTGGCAGAAATTAGAAATCGTCTTGAAACAAATAAAGGCTGTTTTTCCCCCCTTTCTAGCAGAAATCGGACTCACCTGCTGAGTTTGACGCTCCGCAGAGGAAGGAGCCAAAGTCCTGCGCAGCGGACGGAGCGCGGGGATTAAAGCCCTGCACGGGACGGGGGGTGGGGGGGGTGGTGGAGGGGTGGAGGGGTGGAGGGGGGGGGTGTGACTCCACAGCCAACCGCGACACGCGTGTGCTCGCGTGCCTCCGCTTTTCTGGACCAGCGACGACTTCCTGCTCTCTGAGGCATCTTTCTGTCCGTTTCTCTGCGGGAATCTGCGCAGGAATCCGCAGAATTCCGTAATTCTTTGTAAGGAGATAAAAGCGAGCGTTTACACAGCTGAGCTGCACTCACACAACAAAAAGTCATTGTGTTGGAGGCTTTGATTTAATCAATGTCTAGAGTAGAAAACAGGCCTCTGTCCACTCAGGTCATAATTTTCTAACCAGCACCAACAATGTGTTACTCCTTAATATTTAATCCAGTAAAACAGCCACTGACACAACCTGCAAGCTTGATTTCCACCTGAACTATATTTGTAAAAATATACAGCAGAGGGACTCTGTGTGTTCCTATAATGTTAAACTCTGCAGCCCAAATGATGTTTAACCCTAAAACTGAATTAGTATTGTTACCAAAACATTTTGTAATGTTCTGTTGTACTAAAACATGAAAAAAATAACATTGAAGAGCATCATTATTTCTGATTAAGGAGTCAGATTCTGAGAGCTGATTTAAAGAGCACCTGATGAACGCTTCTAGATCAGAGTTGGAGAGTCTGTGGAGCTCAATAACCAGAAAAACTGTTAAATTGAATATACTTTATTGATCTCCAGGAAGAAATTGAGAGAAAAACAAGCAGAGGAAGAATGGAAGCTGCTATCAGAGCAGAGAGATGAAGTTTAAGCTGATTCTGAGAGGAAAAGCAGAGAAAAACAAGCAGAAAATAAGCTTTTTGGGGAGTTTTAGGATGAAATTATTCAGGAGATCCAGCATCTCATTCTGAGTCCACTAAACAGACATCAAACTACACCAGAAGTCTTTTGTTATCATTTATTTATTACATAGAAATGAGTTTTAAAAAACAAACAAAAAACAAAAACATTTTCACCATCCTGGTCTGTCTGAAATCAGCAATTCATTCCACAACACATACAAAAGCAGACCAAACCTTAAGGCGGCTTAAACATTGATTTATGTCTGTAAACGTCACAAAATCTGACTTTTAAAAAGGCCTTAAAGCAGATCAGAGATCTACAAGCTGAGTCCACTGGAGTCTTAAGGCAAAAATATGTTGTAAGGCGGTCCAGATGCAGCTTTTTTAGCACAAAAACTGAGCAGGACGCAATGGTTTTCCTGTTTGGGAGCAGCTGGGAACACAAACAGGGACAGATTCTCATTTCAAATCTGAGCAGCTGAATTACGCAGCTGCTGGGGGACTTTTCTGAGGACAGAGGGACGATTTCCCCCAAAAAAGAACAATTAAAAGACCCATTTAAATGTTTGGTTTGGATTCAAAAAGAAAGAAGTAAAAGTAGGAATGGACTGAGTCGGCACAGCTGTGTGGGAAGGTGCCGCAATGCCCCAAATACAGCCCAAAACAGGAAGTTTAACAGGCCGGGAAATAAAACTACACACATTGGTCGTCATTAGAAAACAAAACTTGGGATTTCAAAGAAGATTGAATTAATTCTGAAACGCTTAAAACAGAGACATTGGCTCCAAACCTGGAAACTCACATTGATTTGGGTCTTTAAAAAAAACAAAACAAATTAAATCAGGAAATATTCAAAATAATTTTACAACATCTGGCAGAGTTTCCGTTTTAGTGATTCAGTTTGAATCTCTGACCAGAGGCTGAAAAAAGTTATATTTTAGGCCTTTTAAGCCAAATTCACATTTAAATTCAATCTTTTTTTAAATGATCCAACACATTCATTCCCTCCAGTTACCAAATATCCTCATTTATGAGTTTTTTTAATTAGATTTTTAATAAAAAACCTAATTTACACCCTTTATTAGTCGTCTTTTGGCACTTTTCTTCTTTTCCAGCCCATATTACACGACAACACAAACCTGATTTGTTAGAAAAGGCCAAAATGAGGCGGCGCCTTCATCCGAGGAGCATTTCTCCATCATAAGGCGTTCAAGAGGCCTTGTTTAACCAGCAAATAAAACCGGCAGAGACAGTTTTAGTCTCCTACTGCAGCTTTCAGAGCTTGCCCGATTCAGACAGAACGGATCCCGATTCAGAGCGAATGGATCCCAATTCAGACAGAATGGACCCCTGGTAGGATCCTGATTCAGAGCAAATAAATCCCTATTGGATCCCGATTCAGAGTGAATGGATCCCTTTTGGATCAAGATTCAGACCGAGTGGGTCCAGACAGTGCTGCTGATTCTGTGTGTTAGTGAACCGGGGGGCAGAGACCTGAGCAGCTACAGACCCATAAAAACTGTGGAGTGAAAAGCGGCCCCAGGACGTCGGAGCAGGAGATTAACTGGATGAACGCAGGAGTGAACTTTACCCTGAACTTCACCCTGTGCAGGCTGCCGTTACTCATTAAGCAGCATTCTCCGCCTTGAGCCTGAACGCCTCCCACTACCTGGAGCTTGAATGCTTCCTCCCACTACCTGGAGCCTGAACGCCTCCTCCCACATGGAGCCTGAACGCCTCCCACCTCCTTGATCCCTACCACTACCTGGAGCCTGAACGCCTCCCGCCTTGATCCTGAATGCTTCCCACCTGGAGCCTGAACGCCCAGAACCTGAATGCCTCCCACCTGGAGCCTGAACGCCTCCTCCCATCATGATCCTGAACGCC